AGGCTTAATCAATTAATTAAGCATAATACTTAATTACCAAAATTATTCCGAACGTAAACGGTACGTCGAAAATAGTTTTCGGTAATTTCGACTGAAATAACTGAAAATAATTAATTCCGAAAAATAATATCGGAACTAAAATATAATTTATACTGATAATTTGTTGGGATATTACAGATGAGTTGGCTGGATCACGTTACTTTTCGAAGCTCGACCTGAGAGCTGGTTATCATCAGATTCGACTCCACAAGGCCGACATACCGAAGACAGCTTTTCGTACGCATCAAGGGCACTATGAGTATTTGGTGATGTCATTCGGGCTGTGCAACGCCCCATCCACTTTCCAGTTCACTATGAATTCCATCTTCAAGGAGCATCTACGTAAGTTTGTTCTAGTCTTCTTTGATGATATATTGGTATATTCGAAGTCATGGGCTGAACATCTGAAGCATTTGAGAGTGGTGCTCGAAGTCATGGAGGCTAACTCGTTTCACATCAAGCCATCCAAGTTCTTATTCGGGCAGGATATGGTCGAGTACCTAGGCCACTTTATATCTCACAATGGCGCGGTTGATCTACGAAAGATAAAGGCTATGGTTGGCTGGCCCAAGCGAACGAGTCTCACGCAACTCAGAGGATTCCTCGGTCTCACGGGCTATTACCGGAAGTTTGTGAAGGATTATAGAACCATTGCCAAGCCACTTACGGAGATGACCAAGAAAGGAGGGTTCACATGGACCAAAGCTAGCGAAGAGGCATTTGAGAAGCTGAAGGGTGCTATGACTACCACGCCAGTACTCGCTATGCCAAGGTTTGATGTCTTGTTTGAGGTGCACACGGATGCTAGTGATATTGGGATTAGAGTCGTGTTACTACAAGAAGGGCGACCCTTAGCTATCTCAGCAAGGCGTTAGGCACGACTCGATTGGGTTTATCTGTGTACGTCAAGGAGATGCTAGCAGTTGTCGAAGCTATGAAATGCTAGAGACCCTATCTGCTGGGGCGACGTTTTCGGATTGTGACCGAACAGCAACCACTCAAGCATCTACTTGAGCAGAGGATTGTGACATCCGAGCAGCATAAGTTTGTATCAAAACTCATGGGATTCGACTTTGAGATAGTCTACCTGCCAGGTCGACAAAATGTTGTGGCCGACGCACTTTCCCGGCGGACGGATGTAGCAGAGCTCAACGCCATCACAGGACCTTCCTGGGTAATTTGGGACGAAGTCCGGAAGGCGCAAGAAGGGGATACTTATTGCCAAGAGTTGCTACACAAGATCGAAGCTGGAGAAACCACTGCTACTGACTACGAGCTACACAACGACTTGCTCCTACACCGAGGCAGAGTCTTTGTTCCCGACTGTGAACAGCTACGCGAGAAGATCATGCAGCACTTCCACGATTCTAAAATTGGAGGTCACTCAGGTATCTACCGCACATGGATGAAATAGCCAATACCTTCTTTTCGCCAGGACAGCAAGGCACGGTTCGGGACTACATCGCGAGGTGCGACGACTGTCAGCGCACTAAGGCTGATTCGCGACGACCAAGCGGGCTGCTACAGCCTCTACCGGTCCCCGACGCAGTTTGGGAAGATATTACTATGGATTTTATCGAAGGGTTGCCAAGTTCTAATGGGTTCAACAGTGTTATGGTCGTAGTGGATCGACTTACGAAGTATGCCCATTTCATACCCATCACCCATCCTTACACAGCAAAGTCAATTGCCAGGTTATTCGTCGAGTATGTGATGAAGCTGCATGGAGCGCCACGTTCTATTGTTTCTGATCGAGACCAGATCTTTATGAGCAGCTTTTGGTCTGAATTTTTTAAGCTGCAAGGGACCAAGTTATCAATGAGCTCAGCCTACCACCCACAGACAGATGGGCAAACTGAGGTAACCAACCGAACTCTTGAACAGTACTTAACGTGCTACATCCATCAATTTCCAAAGAAGTGGGAAAACTTCCTGCCCTAGGCTGAGTATTGGTATAACACCACCTATCATGAGTCAACCAAAATGACGCCATTCGAGCTGGTGTATGGATGCAGACCCCCAACCTTGATCAATTATTCGGAAGAAAGTACGGTCAATGATGAGGTTGGTCGAGAACTAGAAGAACGGGATTTGATGTTGCGGGAGCTGAAGAAGAATCTCGAAGGCTCGATTAATCGGACCAAAGCCTTCACAGATGGAAAAAGGCGTGAAGAAAACTTTGCACCAGGAGAGTATGTCTACTTGAAGCTGCGACCGTTTAGGCAGCGCACGACGACACAGAGGGCGGCAACCAAGCTAGGCGTCTGCTATTATGGGCCCTATCAGATTCTGAAGCGCATTGGCCAGGTAGCTTATCGCCTAGAGATGCCGGAGAGTTCTCAAATCCATCCAGTTATTCATGTCTCGCAGCTCAAGAGAAGCCTAATTTAGGAAACCTAATTTTACTCCAATTAATAATATAATGTAGGAAATATATTTCCTACTAATCTTCATCTTC